AGAGAAAAGCAGTTCCTTATCAGTATCTATAGTCTAAAACAGGTTCAAGACCACAGGGGGGGGGGGAGGGGGAGGATTCAGTTCGATGTATAAGGGAGTTATAAACTGCGTTCTATTATCGGGTCAAGACAAATAGCTGTGCATCGTTTGACCTTGAATCAACTGTGCTCGCTGTGTCGTCGTTTTATGTACTGATTTAGAGGCGAATATTGGAACTGTAGATCAGGATAAGGACTTGCACTTGTTTCCCAGTATCTCCGAATTGTAAATATAGTAAGAGAATGCGTGGAATTTTGAAACTGTATTTCCTGTATTTGCAACCTGCCTTCCTGCTCAAAGGTATGAGACTGAGAGCCGAGCAATAAAAAAAGAACATAATTCTTTGATAGTTCAGTACGATAACCTCAATGGAGAGAATGGAGAATGCAGCCTTTAACCAATGGCTTTAAAAGAGCATACCTATTGCTAGTTTAGTACAAAAGCTCGGACGATGAATGGTAAACAAATGCATTATGTACTTGTTTCATATTTGGCTGTTACTGAGAGGAATTCATGGGTGATAGAGAGAACCAAACGAGAGTAAGATTAAAACTCGAGTTCTTTTTTTTGTATTTAGAAGTAAGCAATGTAATGATAACGACATATGTTTGTCGGTGCTGTGGGAAATATTGACGTGTATGCAATTTCCCCACACCCATTGGAAATGAAGTATTTTTGTCTAATTGGTATCGTATTTAGGCAGTCGTAGAAACACTTCCGTTGAGTGGAACATGGAAGCAGAGCAGGTGAACTGGACAGAAACTCATTATATAATCATATCTAATCCATTTAAAATGTTACTTTTACCTTACTTTTTTGCGAAAAGGACAGATAGTGTCGTAAAATCCAGTCAACGTAAAAACAGGGAGTTCCATCGTTAAGTGAATAAAATGATAATGTTTCTATATATTCCACATTTTACCAGACCTCGAGCCATATATAACATCGAAATACACAACCACATTCTAAAGGTGCTTTATACTCGGTGTGTCCATCGATCATCGCTCTTTGACGATAACAGAGAATGTACTGTTCTGCTTCGAGCGCCCGCGTCTTCGCGACTTTCGATGAGACACCTGATTTTTTTTTACCAGTCACGTGGCGGAAGTGTCCCGTGACTAGTGATGGGCATCGATACACAGAATGGTCTGAGGCAATACCGAACATCGATACCTGAAAGTTAAAGCGATTCCGCTACATTGATACACTTTGAGAGAGAGAGAGAGAGAGAGAGAGAGAGAGAGAGAGAGATAGAGAGAGAGAGAGAGAGAGAGAGAGAGAGAGAGAGAGAGAGACAGAGAGAGAGAGAGAGAGAGAGAGAGAGAGAGAGAGAGAACCTAGCGATACCGATAACACGATACTGTTATTGGTTAGCTCAGGCGATACTGATACCAATACAAAAGCGTAGATCGACATGTATCGCCTATACATGCCCATCTCTGCCTATGAAGATAGTGTCGCGAGAAAATAGCTTTGAGCAAAATGAGTAAAAGTTAAATACCTTCTAGTGCACGTGACGGACGATGATCTTTTTCTTCCAAATGAACGAGGGAAAAGGACTAAAGAAATTTTTGATGTTTGAACTGAGGAATGAAGAGAGATTATTTCAGAAATTGATTGCAGAAACTGATCCTCCATAAGGATCTATTTCATTATGTTCATCGGAAAATTTGGGAGCCATTGATTACGCCATTGATTACGCAGACACTCATTCCAATGCAAATGATCCTTTGTGATGGCGATTATATTCTCTCCTCCCCCACCCCCCTCGTTAATGTCTTTAACGGCAATCGCTCGGCGCTAAACAACCCCATTCAAAAACAAAGAATTAGTGTAGTTTAGATAATCATTTAATGGCCATCATTGAACGATAATCACACCGAGAAAAAAAACTATTTACTATTAAACTTCAGATTATCAGTAAAAAGTACAATACCAAAATAGAATAGTCTCACCCAATATAAAAAAAATCGTGAAAATAACTACCATCTCCATACAGTTATGAAACCCTGCAATACTGCAATACTGAATGAAAGTGAAAACACCAGGGTTTGTGATCAGTCTGAATAGCATGTCCGTAACCACGCTCTTTTATAATGCTATAATCTACTGTTTTAAGAGTTTGTGGGGAATACATAAAAATCTTTTATCAATTTCCCGTATAAAATACATGATTTAAACCGCAGATGATTTTAGAAACTATTCCCAAAGCGTTTTTTTTTTTTAATCTTCCAATTCTGGCCGTAAATATTCCAATAGAAATGAAAAGTAACAAGAAATTCCAGTGTAACAGGTCAAAGTGTCTTTGGGTCACACGAAACTGCACTTTCGAAGTATATTGTATTTTAACATTGTTACAGTTGTTCACAGTTGGACCATGACTAGCACGAGTTGGAAGGGAAAAAGTGTTCTCTTTTTGCAATAACTTTTTGCTGATGTTCTTTTTCGTGCCCTCAGTGCGTGGCTTAACCTTCCGTTGACCGAGTAACTTTTCCTTCTATTTCCCTTTTCTTATCTGTGTTTTTTTTTTCTGGCTCTGTATCTCTTGTCTCTTTTTCTCTGCCCCTCGCTCTTTCTCTCTTTTTTTTCTCTGTCTCTCTCTCTCTCTCTCTCTCTCCTTCCCTCCATCCCTCTTTCCTTCCTCCTCCCTCCCTACCTCTCTTCCCCATTTCCTTTCCTTCCCTCCCCCCCCCTCCCTCCTTCCTTCCTTCCTTCCTTCCTTCCTTCCTTCCTTCCTCCCTCCTTCCTTCTTTCCCCCTCCCCTCCTCCCTCCTTCCTTTCTTCCTTCCTTCCTTTCTTCCTTCCTTCCCTACATGCGGTTAAGAGAAACGCAGTAAAATCCGATTTCTCGTGACTCAAAAAGGGAAAAAAGGAAATAATAATGACAACCTGAATTGTTGACTTCCTTTATGTGAAGGAAATAAACATAAATTTATCTAAGAAGGATTTTCAAAACTTTCTCTTTACCTCGTTTTTGACATATATATTTTTTTCTTCTCTCATTTTTTCTCCCATTTTTTTCTTCTAGTGGATGGTCAAAAGAGGTATTTAATCCACTTCCTTCTCTAATTATGGTCTTTATCATTTTTTTTCCCCTCTCTCTCTTTCGCTCTACATTTGTCTATATTCCGTTCTTACAAGGGAAATGCCAAATGATAGTCTCAGTGACTCGGGAAGCAAGAATTCCTTCGAAAAAATTTCTATCTGATTTTTTTCTCCATTTTTTTGCTCATTCGTTGGCACTTTCTTTGTTAACTTCCGGTCTTTGTAAATATTAACCAAGGTCTTTTTTTCACTAGTTTTTTTTTTTTATTTCTTGAAAGCATTGATAATGAAGTTAGTTTATGAGCACGAGGAAGTTAAAAGCAGGAATTAGCAAAAAATAGTTTAATTATCTATTTCTCTATCTATCCATCTAATATCTATTTGTATTAATCTTCGTTTTCCTGTTTGTTTATCTACATTTGTCTATCCATATCTGTCTATATCAATCACTCTAAATCTATCTATCTGCAACTACTTATAGCTACTTGTATCTATCTATATCTATCAGTCTAATTCTATCTATCTGTAATTGTCTGTTTTATGTACCTACGTTTATGATCTGTCTATCCATATCTATTTATATATATCAATCGAAAGCTATCTATCTGCAACTATTTATAGCTACTTGTATCTATCTATGTCTATCAGTCTAATTCTATCAGTCTGTATTTGATTCTCGCTACCTGTAATTGTCTGTTTCTATATACCTGTGTTTATATATCCGTTTATTTATCTCTATCTATTTATTTCTATCTTTCTATCTATCTATATATGAATCCAACTTTCTTTCAAACTATCGACACAAATTCATCTGTATATGTTCATGTGTGTTTGTGTGTGTGTGTGTGTGTGTGTGTGTGTGTGTGTGTGTGTGTGTGTGTGTGTGTGTGTGTGTGTGTGTGTGTGTGCGTGTGTGTGTGTGTATGCATGTGTGTGTGTATGTGCACGTGCCTGTGTCTACGTGCGTGTGTGCTTGCATACTTGTACGTGTATTCATTTACATGTACGTACTTGTGTACTAATGTCCTCGTGTGTCTGTTTGTATGTGTAATTGTACCTGTACGTGTTTCGCGAACAACAAAACAACTGAACACTTTTATCAGCAACGTCCCAAACACGCTGATTGCAACAGGAAGTCAACATATCTTGGCGTGACGCATGCTATCAGCGTGACCTTGGCCAGCGTGAAAAGTGGCTGAAGCTTTTGCAAGTGAACCCGTTGCAGGAACCCAGGGCACTTCCTGGAACGTCAAAAGTTTGTGTGTGTGTGTGTGTGTGTGTGTGTGTGTGTGTGTGTGTGTGTGTGTGTGTGTGTGTGTGTGTGTGTGTGTGTGTGTGTGTGTGTGTGTGTGTGTGTGTGTGTGTGTGTGTGTGTGTGTGTGTGTGTGTGTGTGTGTGTGTGTGCAAAGGGAGAGAGTGTTGGCAATGATTTGCGAAACCATAATGCACATTCATTAACGCATAACTGTATAGTAATCAAGGAACTTGTGCCCTTCACTAATCACATATACATAGCATACAAAGACCAAAAAAGGTTTCCACTGAACAGAAAAGGAGAATGTTTGAGTAACAGATTTATTTACGGAGTGAGTCACACTATAATACTGGTGAGCATATACTCTTAAAATTAAAACAAAGAACATTACATTTGTACATGGCATACAAAACAAACAGGAGGTAGAGATTACTATGCTAGGTGTGGCGTCGAGGCCGGACTTGTCATGGTCTTGTAACGGTGAATGATATGAGCTTGGGAGAATGACAGACATCGTGGGCATTGGGTATGAGGCTCTTGTCCCTTCGGCGCGGGCGGGACGGCAGGCACGTCGCCTCCGCAGCCGCCAGGGCCTTCGTGCTTGCGTGTCGTGTTCTCGTCTGCTGAGGAAGCTGCTGCTGCGGCAGTCCTCTGACTTCGCTGTGTACCTCCCGGGGCGATTCGCGAGCCCTCCGAGGGGAGCTTCGTCGTCGTTGTGCTGTCGGGCGTCTCACTGTCACCTTGGGCGAGCCGTCGTCGCCTGCGTCTGCGTGAGGGTGTCCTCCCTCGCCGTCGGGTCGCGTCAGTTGGGCGTGTGGATAGACTTCCGCAGGAGGTCTATGATGCCCTGCGCGTACGTGGTGGCGGTCTCCCGCGAAAGCTTCTGCGTGTAGTAGTCGAGGGAGTAGCAGAAGCGGCCGCGGAACGTCTGCAGCGTGTGCTGGCAGAGCGTGGGCATGAAGTGGCACGACACGGAGCGCAGCACCCGCGACACCTCGACCTCGTCGCCCATGCCGGGGAAGGTGTGGGTCAGGTCGCCCATGTTGGTCACGGTGTAGTGATTGTCGTTGGTGGAGGGGAAGCCCGCCCAGTCCAGCCACGAGTTGCTGCGGATGATGAGGATGAGGCGCTCGCTGATGGGCTGGATCTTGAGCGGGTGCTGCGTCGTGGTCAGCTGGTACACCAGGCTCGAGTGCACGCCGCGCGAGTACTCCCAGAAGCCGTCCAGGTCGGCGCGCTTCGTGTCGAAGCCCACGTCCAGCATGGAGATGTGGCAGCCGAAGGTGTTGGGCTGCGCGTCCTTGGGCCAGTAGCGCCGCATGTTGATGGCCTGCAGGGAGTTGACGGTCGTCTCGTCCAGCGAGTGGTTCTTGTCCGCCATCATCTGGTACAGCGTGAGGTTGGCGGCGGCGGTGAAGGCCGAGTTCAGGGTCACGCCCTCCATCTTGCAGCGCCGGAGAAGGTTCCTGGTGGTGAACTCGTCCAGCTCGTGGTGCAGGACCCGCGTGCTCGCTATGTTCTCTGCGGGCATTCTGTAAATGTGTGTAAAGTTCCTGACGTAGGCCCCGTAGCTGAGGATACCCTTGTAGAAGCGTTTGAGGAAGATAGTGAACAAGTAGCCCTGCGAGGACGCGTCGTCGGCTATCTGGTCGTGAAGAGGCGTCGCGAAGACCCCCTCCTGACGCATGTCCACTTCGCGCCCCGCCAGCAGGTCGTTCACTACCTGCAGGAACACCTTGCAGAACTTCATGTTGGTCGTCCCGTCACTTACATTGTGGTGGAAGCCGAAGAGGCAGACGTACTTGTACTTGAGGTTGTGGTTGTTGTCTCTGACGCACTCGTCCTCGCCCTGGAGGGGCACGAACCTCGTAAACCAAAGGGGACCCTCCTCTAGGCGATAGCGGCGTCGGAGCAGCGACTCGAGAGTGGCCAGGACGTCGTCGCTACGCAGCTCCTCGACGTCCACGGCCTCCCTCGGGATCTCGCGCCACCACAGCTTGCCCTTGTGGCGGCCGATCGACATCCGCAGGTGAGGCAGCTTCCTAGAATGGAAAGAGCGGCTTAGACAGGGCAGAGGCGCGAACAGCACACGCGAATGTACAATGATCTCTGTTGCTGTCTACTTTTTGTGAACTTCTGTAGAAGCAACAAAAAATGTGAAGCAAGAAAAATAAGATAAAATTTGTTGAGGTAAAATGGACTTGCTATTCGTGCTTATTATCTCTTCAATATAGAAAAAAATACTTTGAAATTATATATAAAAAACAGATTAGAACTCTCACTTTTTTGTCACAATCTGAGCATGACGTTATACTAAAAGCTGTTACTTATGCATGATGATTTTGTCTTGAGTGCGTGGAATAGGGTGTTCATGATTAGAACCTGAACTTTATCTGCATGACAAAAGTGTGATAATCTATGCTTAATGGTATGCTATTCCCAGCTCGTAACGTCAATGTGTTTTCTCTACATGATACGAAACGTTGTATCTGCATGATAAAAAAAAAAATAACTGTATAAAATAATATGTTTTTGCATGATAATATTGTGTATAAGAAAAAAAAGGTACATGTGGAAAAAACAGTATATTTTCATCTTTAAAAACCTTTTATCTGTGCATGTCGAAAAGCTACTACGAAGAACAATAAAAAGAGTGAAAGACTGATCATGCACATGATAAAAACCTGTAAATCATGCATGATGGTGCTGCCTATACTAGTGAAAGTCTCCTACCTGTGCATGATGATATCTTCTTGCGCATGGTGATAAAATGTTGCACATGCATGGCCGCCAAGTGCGCATGATGGTAAAGTGTTGCCTGTGCATGATGAAAAGCTATCGTTGCATATCATTAAAAAAACTTCCTCTTTGCATGACGATGAAATGATCCCTGCAGATGATTGATGATAATCTGTTACATATCTATGGTGCTGTGCATGATGAATTATGGTTACCTACCATTCATGCAGAGCGAGACTTTGTTCCTATCATGATAAAGTGTCATATGCAATGATGATGACACTATATATGCAGTGATGGCACTTGCATGACCCACCATAGTTCTTGTGTGTTACTTGTGCATGCTAATAATCCACTGGCTATGCATGAAAACAGAAACTCAGTCGCGCATAATAAAAACCTGTAGATAGTGTTATGCAAAT